GGCCCCGGAGCAAGCGACGCCCTACCTGCGCCCTCTGCTTCAGTTCGCGGCCGCCCACGTCCCGGCTCAGAAGCACAAGGAAACGCCGCTTTACACCCTGTGCACGGCAGGCATGCGGCTGCTGCCCGAGAGGCGAGTTCGTCGGCCCGTGCCGGGGGGGAGCCAGGGACCCGCTGGCGTTCCTCAGCCGCGAGGAGGAGGAGGAGGAAGGCAGCTACCTCGCCTCATGGGAGGATTAGGAATCCTGGGGGGGATTTGAGGAAGGAGCGAGCGGCGAGGGCTGCAGAAGGAGGGTTTGAGCGCGCCGGGAGGGAGGTGAGAGGAGGCACTTTGAAGCCTCAAACGAATCGATCGAGTTTCTCGTCTCCAAAGCGCGCTGGGGGCAGCAGCAGGGCTCGCGGGGCTGGACGTGGGGTGTGTTGCGGCAGGATTCCCGCTGTCCCTTGTGCTCCCGCAAAGGAGCGTCGCTGGTGAAGGTCCCTTAGTATCTGTCACTCTCCTGCGTCCTTGCAGGCAGCAAGCTGCAATCCTGGAGGACTTGGTGAGAAATGTGCCGCTGGAGTTTGATTTCCTCTTCTCCAAATCGCATGCAGAAGTGATCTCAGGGAAACAGGAAGGTAGGAGCTGCCGCGAAGCACTGCTTGGTTTCCTTTAGTATGTTGTAATGACCCTTTCTGTCTCGTGCAGGTGTCTATGCTTGGATCGGCATCAACTTTGTCCTGGGCCGGTTTGATCATGAGGACGGTGAGTCCGGCTGCTTGTAGAGCAGCTGGGAGGGTCTGAGCAGAGCCCTGCTGGAGCTCGCCCTGGCACTGGAGCTGAGAGCAAGCTCTGGAGAGGGCAGCACTTGCCCCTCTGGCCAGGCAATGCCTGACCCCAGCCACGTGTGTGAAACTCTCCTGGACCTGGGACCTGGAGGGGCACCTGCCCCAGTCACAGGAACAAGTCCCTGTGTGAGGGGGGCACCTACAGCATTTTCAGAGAAGAACTAGGGAGAGGGGGTTTGTAGTAGTGTTCCTGTAGTGGCTTCCAGAGGTGGATGCTTTGGGGGAACCTACAAAGCTGGGGGGTGGCCAGCCCCGAGTGCCAGGACCTGCTGCCCTGCAAGTGATCCTCAGTGGCTGCTTGCAGGGGTGGAGGAGCCCCATGAGGCTGCTCCGGGGGGTAACGGTGGAAGGGAGGAGATGCCACCCCAGGCCCTGCCCCTCGCTGACATGCCGCTGTGGGTTTTAGAGGAGGATGCGGTGGTCACTGTAGCGCTGGGGAACCAGGGAGAGTCCCTGATTCGGAAACGAACGGTTGGGATCCTAGACATGGGGGGCGCCTCCCTGCAGATCGCCTATGAAGTGCCCGACTCCGGAGCCTTCTCCTCCCCACGGCAGGTGCGTATCTGGCCGGCTGGCCCCGAGAGCAGCCCCTGCCTTCCCTGGGTCACGGCTGATCACGGACCTCTCTGCGTCCCTAGGAGGAGGCTGCTAAGAGCTTACTGGCAGAATTCAACCTGGGCTGCGACGTGCAGCACACTGGCCACTTGTACCGTGTCTACGTCAACACCTTCCTGGGCTTCGGGGGCAATTTTGCCCGGCAGCGCTACGAGGAGCTTGTGCTGAACCAGACCTATGTGCACAACCGGTATTGCTGCCTTGCCTAGCGGTGCCCCTGCTAGGGCATCGCAAAATGGGGTGCTGGTTCCTTCACGCTGCCCTCTCCCTATTGGATTTGCCCCAAGAGCCGCCCGTGGCGATAACAGCTCCCACAGCCATGCTGGCAGCAGCAGATGCCCGGGCTGGCACACGGTGCACGGGCGCTGCCCTTCTTTGAGCCCGGCAGGTGTTAATCAGTGCCACAGCTCCCTGCCTTCCTCCTCCTCCCGTCGCGGCAGGCTGCGGGGAGGCCCCTCTGGTGGCTTTCAGCCTTTCTTGCTCCGACTTTCCCTCCTTCTCCAGCACCGATTCACTCAGCACATCTTTCCATCGCATCCCCACCTCGAGCTTTCTGTCTCCTGTCTCCCCTTCCCAGAGCGCTACATGAAGCTGTCGCCAGAGGCGGAGAGGCTTGGTGCCCAGGTACTCCCGTGCCGGGAGCAAACCCTGCCTCCAGATGCCCAGGGGCTGGGCAGGGGTGCGGATCCCTGCAAGCTGGGTGGGGTGGCCGTGCCTTGCTGCACCCCACGGGCACTCGGGGCACGTGGCCGCAGGTCAGCGTGACATATCTGGCGAGTTTGGCTTCGGCACGAGGTGGCAGGGCAGGCGCCAGCACCGCGGGGGACAAGGGGGCGCATAGACTAAGCTTTTGGAGGTGGTACGGGACCCCATGTGCAATTGCTTTTCCTTCCTGGTCTGTTCTCCAGCCTGCCCAGTCAGCGGACAGGGCTGAGCCCCGAGACGCCCTTCCTGGACCCCTGCTTGCCCGTGGGGCTGGAGGACACGGTGGCCAGGGGTGGCCAAACCCTGTACATGCGGGGGCGAGGGGACTGGCCAGCCTGCGTGGAGCTGCTGCAGCCCCTCCTGGCCGGGCCCAACAGCAGCCAGGCCTCCCTGGCGGGGGCCTACAAAGCACCCATCGACTTCGGCAACAGCGAGTTTTACGGCTTCTCTGAGTTTTTCTACTGCACTGAGGACGTGCTGCGCCTGGGGGGCCACTACAGTGCCTCCACCTTCACTTCTGCCGCCCAGGTGGGTGCTGCCCCAGCCCAGGGGCAAGGGAGCTGCTGTTCCCAGGGCTGGGAGGGAGCGGCGGCCGTTTCTCCGCTCTGAGCCCCGACTTCTCTGTCCCCCAGGAGTACTGCAGCCAGCGATGGGAGGTGCTGACCCAGCGCTTCCGCGGTGGCCTCTACTCGGCGCATGCCGACCAGCACCGGCTGAAGTAAGTGGCTTTGCTGGTGGAGGTGCCGTGGCTGGACCTCCTGGAGGGGCTTTTGCCGGGGTGAGGGACTGTGTGTCAGTCAGGCTGATGCTTTCGTGTGCCGTGCCTGCAGGTATCAGTGCTTCAAATCAGCCTGGATGTACCAAGTCCTTCACCAGGGCTTCCGCTTCCCCCTGGACTACCCCAGCCTGCGCACGGCCCAGCTGGTGTACGATCGGGAGGTGCAGTGGACACTGGGAGCCATCCTCTACAAGACACGGTTTCTGCCACTCAGGTACTGTTGGCTCGCTGATGGCATCACTCGGGGAAGGGTGGTTGGGGAGGAGCAGGAGTTACCGCATTGGGTGAGGGCTCTGCCGCCCCGGCAAGGGGGGTGGCGGCGCAGTACCCTGGTAGTACCCCATGGCATCTCACGGCCAGTCCTGACTCCTCTCCGCAGGGATCTCCGGCAGGAGAGCATCCGGCAAGCACATGCCTCCTGGCTGCGCCTCTCTTTTGTCTACAACCACTATCTCTTCTTCGCCTGCATCCTGGTTGTAGCGCTGGCCATAGTCCTCTACCTCCTGCGGCTGCGCCACATCCACCGTCGGCAGCTGCGCTTGGCCCAGCTCACCCTGCTCTGGCTGGACAAGGTGGTGGTGCCACCCATCCAGGGAAATGGGCCATGACACCGGTGGCATCCACCGTCCAGTTGCACCAGCAGAACCAGGACTGGCTGACAGCCTGGGCTCCGAGGGCTTGGACTCTTTCTTAAAGACCATCTCAACTCCGCACTCCATCGTCTCCACATCAGAACCAGAGCCTCTGGGCTGAGGCAGCTACGGACACCGGAGCTTTCCTCTCCACCTCACCCCAGTCCTAATCTTTGCATTCTTTGGCCTCTGGCCTTCGCCTCACTACGTGGTGTAGAGCAAAGTCCTCTGCTGCCAGCGGGCTGAAGGCCACAGCCCTGGCAGGTCCCTCAGATAAGCAGTACGCTATCACCGAGGCGGCCAACCCAGGGCTGTGGCCTGAAGCACCTGGCCACCCCATGACTCAGCCACCGGTTCGCAGAGCAACCTGGTGAGGTGCTGCAGCTCATCAGCTGGGGTGGCCTTTCTGCAGTCCCTTACACGCCCATGGGCTGGAGAAGTCGCCAGCAAAGTCACTGCAGGAGCCAAGTGAGCCAGGAGCTCCACCGAGCTGCTCCGCCCAGCCCAGGCCCTCTGGGAGCATTCCTTAAGAGGTGTCCTGCTCTTTGCCATGTCTTCCCCTCCCAGGACAATCCTCCCACGGTCCTAGCCGATGCCCCAGGCTCAGCACCGAGGGCTCAGGGACCAGCCGTGGGCTGCGTTTCCTTTCGTACATTCCCTCCTGGGCACATCTGCCCTGTGGTGTCCCACACATGAATCAAGCACTAGCGCCGGGACCAGCGCTTCTCTTCCCCGTGAGCGCAGGCTGGGCCTGCCCGTGGGGGAACCGACTCACTCCAGCCCAGCTCACTGCCCCAGGGCAGGTCTGAGCTGTGGCTGTGTGCACAGGCACAAGCCTTCCTCCCCTGGGGCTGGAGCTCCCCGATGACCCGATGAAGCATGTTACTTTTTACTTGAACTCGGCTGATCCCATTCCTGTAGCAATAAACAAACCCCTTGAGCCATCCAGGACTGGTCTTGTTTTCTGGCGAGCACCTCCCCGGCAGCGATGGCTGCTGGCTGGCTGCATGACTGGGGCCCAGCGCACACCTGCACAGCGTTGCTTCGTGCCGCCACGATGGGACAATGGAGTTGCTTTCTTGCCAGCAGATGTTCTCTGCGATTCCAGCAGAAGGACAGCTGAGCTCAAATTCCGAGCTGGTAGCAGCAAGGGAAGCTCTGAGCCAAACTGAACGGCTGGGACCCTTGGAGACAGCATCCTTTGCTGCCCCCCTCTCTCCTCCTTTGACAAGGAAGTTGACCCTGCCCACCCAGAGCCCCTGGAAGATGTTGCTCCCTGCTTTTTACCTTCTTCCCCACCATAGCCTGGTGGGGTCCCCACTAAGCTGCTCCAGCTGCTGCACAGCCACGGGGATGGCTTCAGCACACTACCACTAGGGAGGCTGGGCAGGTACCCAATCCTCCCTCTAGCACATGGTGTTGCCTATCTGTGACCCTGGTCCCACAGGACAAGTGCACAGGTGGCATCAAGGATAAAACCTTCCACGGGCCAGTATGCTGCCAACCCCTGGCTCAACATCTGAGGATCCCAGCCTTGTTCTCATGGTGCAAGAGCAGGGTTAGGGGTAAGGGAAGAAGTCTGAATAAAGCCAAGACTGTTCCTCAGCCTCCAAGCAGCAAGTGACTCTGCCTCTAGCATCACTTACTAGAAAAAGGATTTATTTCCACAACACAAATTTAACAAACACAGACAAATAAATAAATACAGATAAATTACCTGATAAATAAGGGGAGACCTAAAACACAACGCCCTACTTCGTTCTTCTCAGAGCCTGGACACAGGTTGGGGTGGTGATGGTACCTAGACACTACTGCAGCATCCTCGCTGCTGAGGTGGGAGGAGACACAGCACCCCTTTAATCCCCTCCAGCAGCTGCCAAGCAGCAGAACCCCCTGCCCTGCACCCCAGCACCTCCCTCATCACACCCAAGGGGGTCTGCATGTTTCTCCAGGGTCAGCCCTCCCTTATCACACCCACAGCCAGAATCTGTCTTAGCAAGGACCACCCTCACCACAGGGGACTGACCATACAACAGAAGATGCTATGGGCTCCTGCCTTCTCATGCAGAGGGGCAGCCGGTGCTTGAAATGACCAGGGATACGGTAACTAGTTGGGCAGCTTGGGTTACGAGCAAGGGTTCACGCGGGGGGCTAGGGCTGAGCGCACTGGAGGGAGCAGGGCGAGCGCTGCAGGGACAGGATCCGCTGGCACTACACACAGATCTTTCTCAGGATGGTGCCCAGTGTCAGCGACCGCAGCACTCGGCCAGCTGAGGGGATCTCTCCCTGGTAGCGTGGCTGCTCCCAGGGCTGGACTTACTAGGCCCTCATCCTAGGCAGGGGTGCTGCCTGCCATGCTCAGGGGCCCGGCCATCATTGGTCCAGGTTGCAGTGCTCAGGGTGCGCTGGGGCAGCGGGTCCAGCCTCTGTCCCAGCACCTCTGGGGGCTGCCTGGTACGGGAGGATAGAGGCTGGAACAGCAGCAAGAGCTGGGGGAGGGAGAAAGGAGAAGTTAGCACCAAACTGCACCTGTGAGGGAGCCCGTCCCCCCCAAAACCCACAGGCTCAAGGGGAAGTGCTCGGTTTGCTCAGGCCCCAACACAGAGCCAGCAGCCCCACACTGAGACCAGCTCACCACAGCCACAGTGCACAGAAGCCAAAGCA